CAAGAGAAAGTAACTGAAGTTATATTTATTCTTTATTTTAAGTTTACGGTAATTTTTGCGTGAGAATTGGATCTTTTGTTATATGGCCGGCTTGAATGAAGATTTCGGTGCGATTGAAATTAAATGTGTTTTCCTTTGGGAAAGAGACCGGTTGTATTCGAAAGTAACATTTATATTTAAAAATGTATTACGAAATTGTTTAATGATATGATTTACGAGTTCTAAGTGGTTTTTTGTGGTAATAATGAACGATAATCTTGGTAAATTTCGTCTTTCCTTGGTCTCCTAATTTTTCCGAGTCATATACATATATGTACTTTCAAAGAGTATTTAGACATCACTGACTGATGAAGGAAAACATCGTGAGGAAACCTGGACTTATAGTTTCACGATTATAAGTTTGAAATCACCAACCCGTCTTGAGCAAGCGTGGTGATTAATGCTTAAATCTTCCATGTGAGAAGAGGCCTTACAGCAGTGGGCTCTGATAGGCTGATGATGATTAATCTCTAAGATTTGGAAGGTTTTTCCTTGATAAAAAATTGCCGCTTTATATAATATATTGGCTTAGTTGTATAATATGACCTCATTATTTTATTCCCATAGTTTGATTGTAAATTTTAATCAACAGTTTCATGGGATGTGGTTATTTTATCGTTTGCGGATATTATGAATACATTTGTTGTGATATAAATTGCGTTTTAGATTTTTAAACTTTATTTTTAATGTATTTTATTTGTATTGGAATCTTATTTTCTATATTTTTTGTCTTTTGGGCAAACTTTTTAAATTCATATCATACATACATATCCTAATATTAGAGTAAGCTTGTGGATGTAATATTTGTAAACAAAATTAAAATGGTCTTCATAAAGTTGCCCCTATCTCGTCAGACAAAAAATCACCAAGGAAAGGAATTTAAAATTATATGACAGTATTAATTTTTTTAGTCATTGTCAATCCTTAGAATATTTGTTAGCAGAATCCAAACTTTTTTAAATTTACGTTTAGGAATCGATTGATTTTCAATAAGCAAAAGTAAAGTCAAAAAAAATTACTATGTAAATAAAATCCTTCGACTTCCAACCAGGGTCATAAAAAGGCAGGTGAATAAAAAATAAACTAATTTTTATGTAAAACACAAATCATACCGCACCCGTAGGAGTAAGGCCGCGACCCACTCCATTCACGATTGCATTAATTTTATGCATCTGTTCGATAAAAATATTTAATTTAAACATATTAGTTTCATATAAAAAATATTTATGCTATTAAATAGAAAGGATTTTGAAGTCAGATAAAGAATATTTAAATATAGTACCTAACAAAAAAAAAATGGAATATTTTTTATTTTGAACATGAATCGCTGTTTTTATCCTGATAACTTTATAATTATAATACACCAACCTTTTCAAGATTACACAATAAATACAAATACCAACTCTTTTAAAATATTTCATAAAAGTTTTGTTAAATTATATATAATTTTTACTGCTGCATTTAAAATATAAGAATACATAAAACATTTTTTTAAACGTCACCCTTTTATAAGAATATATTAAATACTAACTGTCAATGAAAGTGACATTAGTTGCAATACTTCAACCTTGACTTTCAATAAAACGTAGAGAGTGTAAGTAATTGAAACGACTTTTCTAATATAATATACTTTTCCCTTCTAACAATAAATGACAAATGAAATATTTGTAATTTTCTATCATAATTTCTTAGTTGAAGCAAATGTCTAATATATTCATCTTTATTTTTTATTATAGTCAAGGTTTGACATAAATCTCATAATTTGTAATTTTTTTACCTCACTCGAAAGTTTTAACATTTTTTCGATACAACATATCCACAGATTATAAACGAGCATCCGGTTCAAGAGGACATACATATATGTGTGTAAAATTATTAATATGTTTTATGTATTACACGTTTGAGAAATCTCCGAACGAAATCCTCGCGTCCTGGCCATTTATAAATTATTAATTTTTACTTTCAGCTGTCACGATTCGAAAAAGGAATCGCATGCACAAGCACTGACAGATACATTATATGAAGGTCAATGAACTTTGATCGTTGATGTTGTTGAAAATATTAAAAATAAACTACATCAGATGTTATACACAAATTATGTAATTTTTGTGGCAAAGAGAAAGAATTGTGCGTATAAATCTTTCACATTAATTTTATTAGTGTAATGTTTGAAGAATTTATATTTTATAACGACTTTTTTCAAATTGCACGAAGTTTTATGCCAGAACTTAAATATAAGTCTGTTTAGGTACTAAGAAATTGTCAAAAAACTTAACAATTATCGTATAAATATTTAACGATTGAACATATTATCATCTTTCAGAAGTTATATATAATTTTTAAATCTCTTAAGTAATTTCAAAAGCGGTGTCATCATATTACATGGATGTCAGGCGGAATGAAAATCACTACCTCCCACCGGAGTGGTCCCACTAACATGTCCTTCTATGGACAATGTCCACGGCCGACTGAATTCGTTTTTCACCAAAAAAGACAACGGAGACGTCCACAAAAACTATATTTGGTTCGGTATATTGGAAAACTTGATCATATCTTAAAATAGTATTAAACGTCAAAAAATATTGCGTCACTAATGTCATATAATCTTCATTTGAAGTAAACATATAGAAGCGGAAATATCTCGTTAACTTTTTGATTCAAGTATTTGTCATCTGCATTTAATGAATGCAAATTAATTTAACTGCATCCGTCGTTAATAGTACGTAATAAATTTGACTTTGTGATATGAAATTTAATATTCGAACTACATTAGTGCAGTGGATATCGAATAATAACTTATTTTGAGCGCCAATACTTTATGGTTATTCGAAAGCTTACCGCCATTTTTATATTTTTTATCTGTAATGACATGACAATTATATTGTCACATAAGCAATTTATAAATACGAAATTATCTATATATATATAATATGTTTTCCATTATTGTTAATAATTAATTGGCAATAAAGAATTTCTCAACCATATATTCGAAAGTTAGATCATAATCAGATGTTTAATAGCTGTATAAGATTGATATTTATACATTTTTTCGTATAATTACATACAGGAACATTTTCTTTTAATGTATAGATAAACCCCGTTAAAATGGCTAGATTTACAACAGTTATTGATTTCGATTCATATAAAAACTCTTTTGTATAATTAAAACTGTTATAAAGAACATAATTCCTTAATCCTAATGAACTATTCATGATGATATTAAAGAATTCATAGCATAATTTGTATCAGCATCTTAAATTCCAGCTACGTACGCGATGCATTCACGATGGAGAACGAAGAATGCTTTGATCACTCGATATTGGTTATAGATTATTTAATTCTAGCAGTTTCTATATATCATGTGCTTTCGTATTTAAATCACTCTCATTCTACATGCTGGATGCATAGGAATAATAACCTTATTATTGTATTTGTAAGTTGTTTTTTTGTTTGTGTTAAAAAAACTATGTACTTATTTAGTATAAACTGTTATATATTTGTATAAATACATATGTACTGCGGGTACTTTTTGACCGAACAATCTATGGGTTAATTATTCCCAAAGAGCGTTGATGTCAGGCAAGCGGTTGGTCCTAATAACAATTACTTAGTCAAAACTATTCACAACATGTAAGGCAGACGCTGGCTAAAGCTGGGAAATTGCCAGGTAGAAGAAGAAGAATCTATGGATTAATTGAAAAGTATTTCAAATCAAGTGGTATGATAATATAAGTAATATTGTTTGAAACACTTTATACCTAACATAGCTATGAATTGCTTTGTATCGAGTGAAAGTATCGTAATGATCTCATAGCAACACAGCCTTGCAAGGTCCAGTGTAATATTGGCAACGTGATGGAAAACGTTTATAGGATATACAGTTGACAAAGAAACCACACATCTATGGAGAGTTAATATTTTCTTTATACATGTTTATTCTTTGTATTATTTATAATAAATTGTTAAAATAAACAACGATTTTAAAATGATGACTTGTAATAGATTCTCAAAGAGGATTGAAGTCAGGCAGGTCGTAAAAACAATTAGCCAAAAATATTCACAACATGTAAGGCAGACCATGGCTAAAGCTGGGAAATTGCCAGGAAGAAGAAGATTCAAGAGAGAAGTATAGAAAATATTACAGTCAGCAGTTTTTTAAGTACAATGTTTTTTTTTAATTGTTCGTGTTTTGAAATTATATTTCATAAAATCTTTGACCGTGACCTCTACATATGTACAATTGACGACAAAAAATTACGACATTCGTTGTTTTGGTATCTTAAAAATTATTTTATGGAATGAGAATAGTTGTAGCTTCCTGTAATTTTTTGGCCAAATGGTGATTTTATTCCAGTGGTTTTTATATAAATTATTTGTCTTTATAATTAAAATACCAATAAAATCGATGTTTTTACATTCCAATAATGTGTATGGGTTTAATAGCGTATCTGAAATAGAGATGTATTCCTTTTTTGTTTGCTGTAGAAACTTAGAAAGTTTATGAAGTCATTCACCAAAAAGATAATATTTTTTTGGAACTACACAATTAAATATAAGAAAAATTTGGCTAGATTGCTTTTTACTTGAGTGCTTTCAATATACTTTATGATATATATTAATAGATATGTACATAACTGTTGCAACAAGGATTGTATAGTACTAAACAAATTGTCCTTAAAATAACGTACGCCAGACACGATTTCTGTATGATGAAAGTTGAAGATGCGATTGTAGTTTACACAGTAGGTACTACGGTCACAAGGATGGACTTTTAATTAGAAAGTTTGTCTCTTTGTATCATTGACATAATTACGAAATGACGAAATTTTGTGTATCATCTTAATAGTATCCTACACTATTTGCTAACCTATCAATCCATTGGAACATTTCGCTGTCACTATTTTGAGTTTAAATTGAAACTAAACTAAAATAGGAGTAAATAATCTTAATTTAGTAACCTATTAGGGTATACTGACAATAAATGTGAAGATTTGCTGATGAGTTACGAGCGGAATTATCAGGTAATTCTCAATCAAGTTTTGACCTAGTTACTTACCAAGTAGCAGTCGATGGGCTTCTCCCTGGGTCTGTGGTAGGCTTTTTGCAGTTCAGTCTGTTTGAGAGCGTGTGCGATGTGTAAAGCACTGGCATCAAACCTTCCATATTGATAATCTGGAGTGTCACGAGACAGTTCTCGAGCTGGCGACGCGTGGACACTGCCATTGGTGACGCGAGTTGGGGATACTGTCGACAATTATATTAAAACTATAGTAAAAAAAGAATTTATTCTAGGATAAAAAAATTCTACTAATATTATAATTGCGAAAGTTTGTGAGTGTGTGTGTATGTTTGTTACTTCTTTACGCTGAAACGGCTGAACCGATTTTGATAAAAAAAATTATACAGGAAGCTGACGTCTAGGATAACATATAGGCTACTTTACATCCCGGAAGTCCCGAAAATCCCGGAAATCCGCTGGTAACACCGCGGGGCGCAGCTAGTAGGTAATAGTTTTCATTAATTAAAATATAAAAATATATCTGAAATACAGATTCCATTTTTGTTTGCTATAGAAAGTTTATTAAGTCATTCACCAAAAAGAAAATATTATTTTGGGACTACACAATTAAATATTAGCAAAAGTTTATTTAGCGTGCTTTTGAATTGATTGCTTTCAATATATTTCATATATTTATTTATTATTGTCTATTTAAAATGTTGAGTAATATTCTTATAGTGGTAATTATAATTGGAGGCAATTTTTTATACGTGAAATAATTTTGTATTGGCAAAGCTTTTGTGGTTTGTCTCTTTAGAAATTTAATGAGTCAAATCATTTATTGGGTAACACATTTTATGTAGTACCTAGCCTTTTTGTATATAAAACATATTATGTTCTAATTCCCCATTGTTTAAGCTCTACATTATTATTTTATAGGCTTTATGAGTTCGAATTTTATTCCACTACGTATGCTTTTGTTACTTTTTGCTTAAACCTCGTTGAAAGTCACATATAGACATTCGTTACATTGATTTAGACATCTTTATAACGAGAAATTTTAATACTCAATTTCCGTTATGATATCGTTATATCCATACTCATATATGTGGAGTAGACACATTAAATTTACATACATAGGTGATTCTTAATATTCTCTGGCTGTGAACATGAAAATTATATTATGCAAATATATTCCTTATTACATGTACATAGCGTTTAATTTCCCATATAAAGATTAACATCGGAATGATGTCAATGAACTCTTGTGTATCCCTAATACGAGTTTTGTATTTGACAGCATATCTCTTACTTTTTACTCATACATACGTATATATATCTTATATGCTAATAATTATAGCTTATATATATTGTATAATTAGCTATAATGTACTAGTTAGATGTACATAGATACGTAGATACATAGATACTTGTTAGATCATGAGATATGTTTCTAAGAACAGCTTGCATCTCAACAAACAGCTAATTATTTTCTCCAGCTATTAAAACTCAAATCTATGATCTTAACTACGCTGTACGCGTTCATTACAAACGATTGTATGAAATATTTTTTAAACTTAACCGGTTGTTAGCTAGCATTGAATGTTTTAATGTGTTTTTAAGAGTTATTTATATATAACTGAAACATAACGTATTGTAAAACTAATAATGTTTTGTCCCTCTCACACTATATGTGTTAAAAAGAGATATATAATAGGTTCTGATATAGCAAATACAATTTCTAACAGCTGTATTGCTTAACACTTGTATATGGCAACTATCTTACAAAACTTACTTACTACATATGTAAGTTAAAAAAAATTAGGTTACAGTGAGTTCAAGCCATGTCGGAATCCGTGGAAATATCTACTGGTAGGAACTCAATTTGTATTAAAAAAACATACTTAACAAAATAGAACAAAAGCTTTAATACAGCCGAAATGATAATAAAAGTTTATGCACGGAAAACTTTTGATAATTCAGAACATATTAACATTTAGATTATTACGTTTCTGTACGGAAATATGTTTTAATAAGTAAATTCCATTCCGCCATTCATATTTTAATGGCTGGGTCACTGTGGGGTCCAAAGCAGGCTTTAGGTCACTGGGCGATCGTTTGGAATGCGACCGCTTTTGCAACAAGTTCTTCCATCTCTTTCACTCCACTCACTATATATTTTCTCTCACTCTTTCACGGCGGTAACGAAATTTTCTGAATTACCTTTCGGAAGTCGCAACGGCTAAGTTTTGCTGATTTCAAATATTATTACATTTAAGACTCATATGATTTTCAGTATAAATAAATTAATGAATGAATTTCAGTGTTTTTAATAAGAACAGTTGATTTAAATTATTTGCCAACAAAATTATGGCGAATAGTCAATGATATAAAATAATTTAGTTTTGCCTTAGTTATAATATTATGCTTTTTAATATTAAACATTATTAATTATTATTGCTCTTTCTTTTATTGTTTTTCGATACTGTTCTAATATTTGTTTCAACACATCTGTTTATTTGCTATTGTCAAAATTTTTGAAAAAATAAAATTAATATTCAATGATAATATATACATTAGTTAAAGTCTGTTTCCAAAGAACTCTAAGAATTAGTCATATCAGTTCTTTGAAATATGGGAATAGTTTAAAAAAATTGAGTTACCCAACTGAATGATTTAAGTACTAAAGTAATATTAATTATATAAGCAATTACTGATGTATAGAAAAAGACATACCTACATACATTCATATGTACCTATATAAAATTCTCGAATCGCGGTGTTCGACAGAGGATTCCTCCGAAACCGCTGGACCGATTTTGATGAAATTTTGTGAGCATATTCAGTCGATCTGAGAATCGGGTAACATCTATTTTTCATACCCCTAAGTCATAAGTATTGTTCACCTTTACTTTTTTATTTTTTTCATAATGTAACGCTAAAAAATACATACAACCCATAATGTTTACTTTTTTATCTCCAACCCCTATTTATATGGTAAAACAACGTTTGTCGCGTCAGCTAGTATAATATATATTAGTAACACTTATAAAGTAGTCCAGTAACTCTCGTGAATTATTTATTAATGTTATATAAATGTTATTTAACATCCCGTCACACAAACCTGTTGCTGTTTACATCTAGTTCTGTATTTTTATATGATCTATGGTTTTTTTGTATCAATAATATCTTCTTCTACCAGGCAATTTCCCAGCTTTAGCCAGGGTCTGCCTTGCATGTTGTGAATAGTTTTGGCTATTTATTTGTTTTTACGACCGACGGCCTGCCTGACATCAACTCTTTTTGGGAATGCATTAATCGGTGATGTCTAAATACTCTTAGAAAGTACATATGACTCGGATAAATCATATTAGTACTTGCTAGGATCGAACCCGCGCCCTCATGTAGGAGAGGCGGACCTTTTAACCTCTAGGCCACTACTGACTTTTTTGTATCAATAACATATAAAAAAAAATGGTACTTGTAAGTCTGACGTTGACATCAGTGTGTATGTCTGTTTGATTGCAACTCTCAAACACATCTAAAGATTTTGATAATATTCTGACGATTTTGATGCAATTTGTGTCATTACATAGTCAGTTTTCTTGGTGGTTTCTGGCTATATAGGGATAATCTGTCAGAACTGTAAAACTGTGAGTTCTTTTAATGTATGCTCAATATGACATGAGACTTTTTTTTAATTTTTGCTTTAAGGGAGCTAGTGTATTAACTAAATAAGTAATTTAGTTATTAACTGGCATTTTAATATGAATATAACAATAACTGTATGAACACAGATTTGTCAAAAGCACTTATTTAAGTGATCGTCTGTGTGTGTGTGTGTGTGTGTGTGTTAAATTAATTGACCGTGTTTAAGATGATTTTAAACCATAATTTTTATTAAGTATTAAATAAAAATAACGACTATAAAACCAATATTTAATGTTTTATTTAAAACATACGATAAACCCCGTCTTCACTCGTAATATTCTAATAAAGTTTCGTTACGGTAATCATTATATTCAATAATATTACCTCTTGTTAATAAGTGTGTTATTAATATTAAGTATTTGGAATCGTGAGCATCTTTTTTTATACAAAACCCTTGATAAGAATAAATTTATATTTGTTAAATAAATAATAAATTAATGTGTGACGTGACTTTGTATTATTAAAAAACATAAATAGTTCTTATCACAGAAAACATTTAAGGTATTTTTATATAGGACACACTAAAAAAAACATTTGATCTTTTTAATAGACATTAAAACAAATTTTTAATTAAATAAAACTGCAAGATTCTCTGGCATCTATATCTTGGATACAACTTAACCAAGATGACACAACACATATAATGTGTTCTATTTAACAAGTCAAAGTAAGTATCGTATTATGAAAATGAACAAATAAAATTTAACCTATCATTTATATGTTATACGACGTTTTAGCTAAACATACAAAAATTTTCATTGAAAGATAATTTACGTAAGGTAAAGTAAGGTAAAGAAAGTCCCTTACGTTCAGCTTCATGGCTATTCCTGGCGTAGCCTCGTATCTGTTCGTTCACATAGTTGTTACTCCTGGGTACGTTCAACGCACTCCTGATTCCCACTGAGGAGTTGTCCAAGTGACCTGGTCCGATCTTAGGCACGTGGCTCGAACAGTACACCTCTTTATCTTCGGTCCAATGCTGATTGTTGTAGTATGTCTGAAATAAAGAAAAGAGGTCAAATTTTTCAATAAACAAATATGGTATCACTAGCTTTCCGACCGCAGCTTCGCCCGCGTGAAGTTCGGTTATATCGCGTTTGCAAGAGAACCTTTCAAAAATCTGGGATAAAAACTATCCTATGTTCTTTCTCAAGGTCAACTCTATCTCTGTACCAAATTTTATTAAAATCAGTTCAGTGGTTTAGGCGTGATAGCGTAACAGACAGACAGACAGAATTACTTTCGCATTTATAATATTATTAGTAGGGATGTGGAGATTTGTACCAAGGATATTTTTAGTTCTGATGATTATTAAAGAAGAGTAATCGCAGAAGGACGATTGAAAATCAAAAGTTACTATGGTAGCATTAATTACAACATAAAAATTTTAAATGTTGTTTAATATTTTGTTTACTATTAACCCGACACTAATAGTATTTTTTCTTTGAATCCTTTAACAAAGATTCTACAAATTACTGAATCTAATAAAAAATGAGGTATATTTTCAAATCAGTATCTACGTTTAATGATAAATATTTAGAATTTAATATAAAGCCATTAAGAAAGTTGATTTCGTTAGTTTTTAAGAGTACCTAAGTCTGTGAGTTTGTTCGTCACAACTTTCTCATAAACCACTGATACGTTTAAGTTTTTTTCTATATAATCATATATCCGAGTTCGGCAATTCATAAAAAGATTTCAATCAATTAAACTTTCTATCGGAATCGTTTAATTCTCTATTAATTAACAGCGCTATTAAATCTATTTAATTTATCTAATAGCAGATTGGTAAAATATAGATAATTGTGGAATATTGATGTCCGTTCATAGCTTCAGAAATTTTTCCACAAGTTTGTATTACACTATCTAAAAGTTACAAGTTTATTAAACATAAATTATATTATAAAAAAGTCTTTACCTATCCGAGTGGTTGTGTATACTAAATGCCTTACTAGCTCTATCTCTTTTATTCTTACGTAAAAGAAGAGGAAAGGAATTGACGAATCCTGATGAATCTATTCGGGATATTGGGATAATTGAATGGAATTTTTGCATTGGCAAACACATATGTGTGCAAAGCTTAAAAAAAATACTATCACTTGTAGTGGTCCAAATTCGAGCTCGAAGACTTTGATCACATGCAAACAAGCATACAAGTGAAGCTAATATAAGCGTGTTAAAATACATTGAGTTGTTTATAAAATCTCGTAATTCTGTGTGACGATGCGGACTTGTAGTAAGTAATAAAGGTACCTAGTAAGAGGCGATATTACGTTTAATTCAGAACATCTGAAATTATAAAACATAATAACTATGACCGTGTTAAGAGTAATCCAATATTAACGTTTAGTTTCAAACTAAAACGTAAATTGTTTTAGTTGTTATTAATATCGGAGGTAATTATGCTTATACAAAAACCTAAAAACATCACTTCGATATGTATACAATAATATAATTTAAATACAAATTAAAAAGAAATAAAAATGTGTTATACATCACTAATAATGTCTACGTGTTAAAAAACGAAAGTATTGAACTAACGTGGGTTGGTAGTGAATTTTCTAGGATTTATCTAAAGTTATGATGGTTTTTTTACAACTCTACAAGTGGGTTACCCTAAAAATTTTAGCTTAAAGTACTTAACCAGTTTTTTTTTCATAATATATTTTTAGAACTAGTAGAAACTCTTAAAATAATCATTAAAAAGAATTTACAAATAAACAAAGCAATGAATTTAATTCGATGGAATTTATAGCTTAATTCGGAAATGAAAAACTTCAAATCATTCAGTTTTTTATGTCGTAATAGTTTTTTAGTTTTGTTGAATTGAATTAATATAGTTCTTTGGTCTTGGTTGATTTTTTTATTATTTATTACTTATATCTGTATTTTTTAACAGGCAACATTTTTTGTATAAATGTCATTGACATAAAACTTTCCATATATTTATTTATCATGTTCCGACTCGCGTAATTGTCTACATATTATATCCATGAATTGTATAATTTCTTAATTAATCTTTAATATTGAAGTACCAAACCCCCGACTACCATTTATACCAAACATCATTTATTAAAGTTGTTATATTAGTACGCAATGATTATATTAATTCACTTTTGAATACGCTCCATATCTGGCGAACATAACGCACGGCCTCCAAAATAAAACAATAAGTAAAATGTAACAGTAATTACAATACAGTGAGTGAGCCAACAGGTTAATAGCATGTGACTCATGTTTGTTTACCAAATTATATGTAGACATTTTCACTTTATATTTACTATATGGTATTAATTTTCATTTAAACTGTATGACAATCTGAAATGTTAGTGGGGACAAAGAGAATTAAATGTAAACAATAGCTAACAAACGAATTCATACAAGTATATAGATTTGTTTGACAGCCATGATTAATTATATTCTATAATGCTTTCATGTTAATATGAGAAATTTCTTTCTTAGCATCCAATGTATTCACCGTGCGGGTACTGGGTCCATCGTTGCAGGGAGAGGAGCTTCAATAGTGTCTGTGACTTGCGACCCAGGTGTAGGTTTAAGGGGCCCTATCTAACGCGCGTTAAACGCTCACCTACTTCCAAGCTTCTCTCTCTACTTAACCAAATTTGAAAAGAACCTACTAGAGCTGCCTTCGAAGTGCTATTTCATATAAAAAAATGTATAAATTTTGTACGTTCCCTTGTATGTTACTCGATCACGAAAAACATAAGCTAATTGTGTTATAAGCCTAGAATGAAAAATGTCCATATATAACTTATATTCATTTATAAGAGTGAAATCGTTCCTAAAATGTAGCATTTTTATAAATGAATCAACAAGAAATGTGTATACTTTCTGTTACACGACATTAAACTACAGTCTTATAAGCGAAAGGCATTTGTACATCGTACATCGTACACCAATCGTACATCGAAGATGTTTTGGGCGAAAAACTGTTGTGATCTGTTATGACGTAAAGTAACTGACATTTAATTTAGCAAAGTAACGAGCGGCACCGGGTGATATATAGTTGTATGGGAAAAATATCATATAACGTGGGAAGATGCTGACTTTGCGCTGCTAACACTTCTCCGTGGGAATGAATTCGACTCCTGATACCACACACAAAATAAAAAGACGTTAAATTTTTAATATCAGGATGTTCACGCAGATTCTAGTACATTTACACATATTTAACATAAGATTTTTACGTTTTTTCCTCAGTCTAAGTTGGTTTTTAAATTTGGTTAGGTAGAGAGAGGAGCTTGGACAGTGGAGGTGAGCGTATAACGCGCGTTAGATAAGGGGCCCCTTAAACCTACACTTGGGTCGCTAGCCACAGGCACTGTTGAAGCTCCTCTCCCTGCAACGAGATGGACCCGGCACCCGCACAATGCTGAGAGGTTTCGTCTTGTAATATATGTATATACAAAATTCTCTACCAATCATTATAATATACCGCTAAAAGACAAAACTATATTCTTTATAATGTTAAATAAGGGTTATAATTTAAAAAATAATTTTCTTATAACATATGAAACTCCTTCATGTATAATAGAACCAACATAATAATAAGATTTCTCTCATGTATAGACACTCGTCAACCTTGTTGAGCATTGCCTTCTTCGGGACAAATGTTAGTTGACATTTCAACGACCTTCAAAACTATAAACGAATTTGTCCTTTTGTTGTTCCGAGTGCCAGGTATAATGTAAATAAAAAGGTGATAAGGATTTTAAAGGATTTCGTATATATTTTATTAAATGAAAAGTTTATAATACTTATGTTTTGAATGCTTGAATATCAAATGCGAAGTTAAAATTATGATTGATGACGCCTATTGTGTAAGGTTGAGGTTTTAAGTGTTGTATGAAATTTGATTGTTGTGTGAGTATATTCGTACTACGATACAAGCTAACAACTTTTTAGGAGAAAGGTAAAAGTTTCCGAGAAATATTTATATAATAATTTCTAAGATTTTCACGAGTTGACGTACATTTGAAGATATACAATTGGAAATCTTAAAATATTTGCGAAAGTTGTATCCAAAATTATAATTTCATTACAATCTCTTAACTTTCTGTTTTTGTAGCTAAAATGACATTTATATTTCTGTCAATTGAATGTCATAATTACGGCATAAATGCGGTGCATATTTTACCCAAAGGTAGGGGTAAAATGTACAGTTGGGGTGAACGATAGAAGTCCCTTAAACGCTTGTTTTAACAATTACCCTTCATTTTTAAATAAAATATATTATATTATACATAATAAACAGTAATTTTCTCACCTTCAAAGTAAGCTTGGTGCCGCATACAGCACATTTGAAGCATCCGCTGTGAAAGAATGTGAAATCCTTCAAAGGCCCGACCCTGTCCACTTGATACACAATTTCGTTGCAACGAAAGCACGTGCTCTCGTAGAAATTCGGCCGATACATGGCTTACTATATCTGTTCACGTCATAATTCAACACTACACTCACAATAACATTGTCACACTTACATGTATTAAATACTAGTTATTTATACGGAACACTGAGATTTTGGTGTTATCAAGTTCATTGACCTCACCACATTAACACGACAGCTTACAAGCTATATCGATCCGGGAACCCCTGGTTCACCCTATATAACATAATTTAACATATTTTACTTTGACTCTCAGAATAAATTTACATCCAAAGTCATAACGAGATCTAAGACGTTTTCGAGTTTTTTTCATTCAAATGAAACTAATATTTTTCGGATATTCTACTCGAATTTATTTTTGTAAAATACTACATACTCCCGAAGTTTCGGCTACTTTTCAGCAACCGTGATCACGGACAGACGAGATGAAAAGTAACCGAAACGTCGGGAGTATGTAGTTTTTTACAAATATAAAGTCACGTAGTATATCCGAATAATATTAGTTTTATTTTAATTATATCCAGAGTGATCAGTCCTCTCTCATGTCTCATTTATCTCCTATATATTCGTGTATATTCTCGTGTAACATATTATTCGCTATGATTGCACATGCAGACATGTGCTGTTTATTAGCAAATTAATGCTTGCCGCGTACCGTTGCCTTAAGCTAGTAGGTTATTAAGTTATAGGAGGTTGTCATACACTTAAACTACCCCTTTTGGATATATTTCAACTATAGTTGTTACAACAAAATGAACATGTTAATTTTCGTATCTCTACAAGTAATATAATTAAAGGTATGAAATCTAAATTAATTTATTTCAAGGACATCTTAGATTTATAAATTAATTCATTAAAGATTTTCACTTATTTGTAATAGCTACAGTACCACTAATAATTAACGAAACAACTATTATCCGTTGCATGTATTAGAAAATAATAAGAGAACAAGGAACGCAAGGAGGCGGTACATAGTCGAATTTAATAGTAGTTTCTAGAAATCGCGTTTCTCTTATAATTTGCACTCAAGTACAGTTAGTACAGAGTATTGGAGCGTGCGATGTAATGATAGGCCGTGGATCGTTCTGTTCCTTGTTAGGACCAAGCATTGTATGCTATTGTGTATGCTTAATTGAATATATGTATAAGTAAGCGGACGTAGAATAATTAATCGACGAAAAAAAACCTGTTCAGATAGAATAAAAACATGAATACCGTCTTAAAATTTCTTGGTCTTAATTTAGAAAGAAAAATCTCATAAAACTATACTAAATTGTCCTGAATATACGATAAAATGATTATTTATATTTAGAATCCTAATTATAATTTATAATTATGTTCTCTGTGTAATAAATCATCAGACGATTGCTGTGGAAAGCTCTCTACATTGTCTATTGATGGTTTATTAATCTAGCTGTCAGTGTTGATGTTAGATGACTTTTGAAGTTTGTATTATGACGTGTGAGGCTGAATGCATTGAAACCAAATGGTACAGATTAAAAATTATATATTATCTATATAGCATAGGCAAAGAATTTTCTATATTGTTTAGAAAATTAATATTTTTTATTAATTCATTCCATTTATTGTATATTTCCCAGTACTAAGAAATCTATTCTAGTAAAAATGGAGGATTTTTTTATTCACTGATTTTTTAATAAGTATTTTTTTGTGACACAGCATTGAAAATTTGACCTTATACGATGAAATCATTTTTCAATCAGTCAGTCAGACAAATCTATTAAATATTATCGTTATAATAAAACAATGACATCAGACGTCTGTGATTTTACAGAAAATTTACAATATGATAAAAAAATACAGGTTATTGGAACTAGTATTTAGTATTTAAGTTGAATATATTAAAGCATCGACTAGTACTAAAACGTGTGCGGCTGGCGCGTTGGGGCGCCTGCTTCCGAACGTCGGTGGTCCCAGTGTGGCATGTCGTAGACTCTACACTGGGGTCGTTAGATCGATGGCACTGTACGGTGCGCCTGTATGGGCCCGGTCTCTCGGCCCGCGAACGACAGCCTACCTCCGCCGTCCGCAGCGTATCTTGGCGCGACGGGTGGCGCGGGCGTACCGTACAGTATCTTTTGAGGGGGCCTGCGTGCTGGCCAGCACGCCACCGTGGTACCTGGAGGCCGATGCGTTGTCGGCTGTCTATCACCGGCGCGCGGAGGCTCGCAGCCGTGACGGAGGAGTTGCGTCCGGGTCGGTCGCCGAATGGAGAAGGGATGCGGCGGCCAACGTTCTACGTAGATGGGGTGAGCGACTGGCTTCTCCGACGGCCAGTTATGAACTGGCCACCGCTGTCAGGCCTGTTCTTTGCGAGTGGGTGGGTCGCACGTTTGGCCCACTGACCTACCGCCTGTCACAGCTGCTGTCGGGACACGGATGTTTCGGCAGGTATCTGTGGCGGGTGGTGGGCAGGGAAGAAAGCCCCGCCTGCCATCACTGCGGGGGTGGCGTGGAGGACTCGGCGCAGCATACTCGCGAGTCATGCCCAGCGTGGGACAGCCTTCGCGCTGCTTTGACTACGGTCATAGGGAGGGACCTCTCGTTGCCGGCTATAATCTCGGCTATGGTCGGCAGCGAGGAGGCATGGGAGGCGGTGGCCGCTTTTGCCGAAGCGGTCATCAGCGCGAAGGAGGCAGCGGAGCGGGCCAGGGAGAGCAACCCGGAGGCCCCTGCCCTCCGTCGTCGGCGAATTGGTCGCCGGCGCCGAGCCTATCTGGCCTCTTTACAGCCATAGGTTAAGCGCCGGGCGACGTGATCCTGGGTGGCAGACGGGGACTTCTGTCGCCCGTTGATAGGATCAGTGCGGTGCTAGCCCCTCTTGTTCCGGGGGCGGCTCGCGGTGGTGGTCTGCGGGGGGATTTGTCCCCCCTAGTTCGAGGTCCGGAGTGGACAAGCGCCGGCAGGGTCGCGAGGCAAGCTCGTGATATACCGTGACCCTGCCTAGGTGGCGTGGTTGAGGAACACCCAGGGGTTTTAGTGGGTCGAAACCCCACATAACCCGGTCAAGTCCCCGCTTGGCCGGGTATCTGTGAACAGATTTCCCCTGGGAAAACAAAAAAAAAAAAAAAAAAAAAAGTACTAAAACGTGTCGTAAAAAAAAATCTTAGCGCACTTTCCTTCAATACATTTTACATTAGTAAGTTTTGTTGAAGATTACAAGTTGAATAATTTAAAATTGGATTTTATTCTTTTTTAATATTGAATAGAATTAATCTTTGTTATTTAGCATTTGTTACGACATTCATATAATTGGTTACGGGCGCGCCGACTCATTCCATAAGTGTTAAAAAATTTCACAATCAAATAATGTTACGCCTTATAAAAATTTATTTGAAACAAACAATATAAAACATTTTATATATTATTTTTATTTATTTATCTAAATTCTAAGTTTATTTTAAATTATTAATATTAAGAGGAAGTCAAATGACTTTTTTTTAACAATATCAGTATGAATGTTAGTGGGTTTTGGCTAGTATTGGTCAATACACGTGGGTGACGTGTGGGTGACACTTAAGCCGACTTACTCAATGAATTAAATCCCTTATATAAGCTTTAAAATATTAGCCACTCACGTAATAACGCCCTTCATATGTAAATACAAGTTTTTGTTGATTTTCATGTCATACAGACAAAATAACAAACCTAGTTTCGTATATGTAGTATTTTTCTTACTAATACGTTTACTGACGCTGAAAAAAGATGATTTATGAATATTGTTATCAATAAACTGTTACTTTATTTCGATATTTTTATATTTTTATGGTTTTTAACAAAGATACCATTAAATTTTGTTAAGATCGAATGAAGTTAAAGACTCGTGACTTGTTCGTTCAATGAAAATTTCGCAAGTGAACTTTTTCGTAACTTTTTCTAAATTTTACACTATTTTTTATCATGAACAGATTTCTATACTTCAATTTAAAGAATTATCAAGCTTTTTATTTCAAATAAAAATCTTTAGTAATAAGGTATATGAAATAATTATATTTTATATATTATTATTCTTTTATTGTTGGTATCCTGCCATATATTTCTGACGTTCCTTAATGTGATACATATTATTGGTAATTCAATTTTTTTTATAATTTTAAATATCTTTCTAATTCTCGGCTATTAGTAAGGTATAAATGTAAGTACTAGGCTTAGTTTTTAAATTTATTTACTTTTAAATTTTGTTCACTTTAAAAGGTAAGTTCTCAAAGCTTATATTTATTATTAATTTTATAATATACAATAATTATATAAAATTATATATTATTATTAACGTTACTTAATATTTCATGTTCTGCATAAGTTATACAATAAAATTTATGTGTTTATTTATACATTTTGAAATTCTAATTCATACGATCTAATAATAAAGCTCTAAATATCATCTTTTAAATATGCCTAATATAAGTTTTTGCAAATGCGGATATAGTAACTATTATACAGGTTTCTGTTTTTTTTTTTTAATATTGTCTGTGTCGAAGGTTGTCGGTTACATCCGGTAATTTCTTTATTGTTTTTTTTTAATCATGAAAATTAATTAGGAAGACGATAATAATGAGATCAATACATTTTATGGTAATGAGTTCGTTATGCGGGCTTTAAAAATAGGGAATTTTGTTGTCTTTACTTTGTTCACATTAGTTTTAATACTGTATTTTTTCCACTATCTTTGGTTAAAAGTATCAAAAAATATATTTATATGGCTGCATATATTCTTCAATTTAATTAGTTCATTTCTTGAAATCCCGTTCGCAATATATTTACTTACGAGTATTCACACGTATTTTCAAGGTGTTTTCTGTTGTTACAACTAGTGAGCTAACTTTACTTTCTTTGATAATTATTGTTTAAAAAACTTCAAATTCATTATTAAATGGACATAAGAGACGTACTAAACTTAACAAGAAAACGAATTCACGCTAGCAGTTGTAATAGAATAAAATTACTTTAATTATACTACAATCCGTGAAGCTATAGAATACGCAAGTAACATTAAAACATAAAACATTTCATACAAAAAAACAGTCCCTGCGTTAGCTCAGGTTATATTAACGAAATGATAGAGCAGAACTCTGCCAACATTGAAATATATAACCTTCTCGGTGTCAATTGTAGCAACGTACTAACACAACACTGGCACGTAACAAAATCTATGCATCACTTTGTATTAAAAAAAAAAAAACTGAAAATGTCATTGCATAGAATGTGACATTTTAACTTTTTAATTTGCCACCTGTCAGCGGTACGGTCATCGGACGCGCGGCGCTCGCGGGGGCCGGCTGAGAACTGCCCGCGATTGTTTACGGCACTCGAGGCAATGATAAAGAACCTTCTTGTTGAATGACTCCGGCTTTACCAATATTAAAGGTTCTTTTTTTAAAATTTTCACATAATATTATAAAAGAAAACTGGAAATACTTCATTAATGATTTATATAGGAATATAATTAAAAATATTTTTAATGAATAATTAATTTTCACAAGTACAATGTTTGTTAATATGGCGGAACATTTTATACTTTTTTTTAAATTTTACCTCGCAAATATTTACTCAATACAGTATAGAATAATTACCCACTACAGAATATCCATATTATTGTGATTTTCTTTTATATGTTATACCTAACGGAACATGTGTGTTTTAATCTATGACAAGCAGAGGTAGCGAAGAAGCGGCTCGGGCAGTACATCGGGCATTCCGGACTAAATCGCCCGCCGGAGAAAGTAAACTCTACTAATATAGAATTTAACTTACATAGCCTGAATTGCACCTTATTAAAATGCAATAAGGTTCAAAATTATCTTAAAAAAACTACAAAGTCATCTACGGTCAACACAGGTGAGTGGAATCGTATATCAACAATAGCATCTCAGTGTGCGAATAAAACTTTTATACTTATTACAAATACCTAAAATATTTTGTATGTATTTGTATGAGGTTTGTTTGGAAGTAAATTAATGAATACGTATGTTATTTTAGTTACTTTGGAAGTCTTATTATTAGTATAGAAGACATCAACGGGAGCCAGGTCCCGGTATAGGTGGATGTAAGAAAGTATTTGTATAGAATATTTTCAGTTTTGATGTAGGCTAAATTTTAATGAAAATTGAATTAATACATTAGAATGACTAATAAGAATGATTATAAATATTATTATAACTAGCAACATTTTTAATATTGTGTATACGATATCGAAAGCATATTGTAGTGAATATTTTTTTTGATATGACATTATTTTTGGTAAAATAAAACGGGATTTGTTGATAAATAAAATATTGTAGACATCGAAACAATGTGATTATTAAAAAGACATATCTACAAAATTGCTATTATATTTGACTAGGCGCTTTTTTATTTTCAAACTATTATATTTGATATCCGTTAATTCCTATAAGAATTCCATCATACAATTATGTTACAAAAATCTATTTATTACGTACAAGAGAAAATTTTATGAGCAATAGGATTATAGAAATAAATTATATTATAGTTCCTTATATTGAGATCCTTTATTATAAATAAATAATTCTACTTATTGTTTTAAAGATTTTCATATCTATCGTATACCTTCAAGTATATCTTAAAACTAATATATTTTATATTTATTATTATTATTATCATGCAGGTGGCGCCATCTGTTGGTGTTGTATTGAAGTTAGTTCGCTCGGCACTGGTCTGTGTTTTTGTCTTGGCTCCAAGATGTCCGTACCCCATGTCCACTGATGAAATAAATTAATTGTTTTATTATTATTATTATAATTACATTAATTTAAGTTGCAATAAAAAGTATACATATTACATGTTTATATATAATTATTAAAGGTAGATGTGTTGGTAAGTTTAAATGGATTCATTTGTTAAATATACAAAAGTTCTGCCTTACTCTTACTACATATATTGTTATACTTATTACCATCTTTATTTTTCATGACAAAAAAATCAACAAGTATATTTAAAATTATGGCTGTATTTAAAAATACATCATTATTATTTTGTTGTATAATATACTAGGTTTTTGCCCGCGACTTCGTCCGCGTTAATTTCGTCATTAGTAATATATGTATATCTAGCCGGGCAAACTCTATTCCGTCTTAGAGTCCATAAATAATCAGATTTATCCGGTTTCCATGGAACAGAATGATTGACATAATAGTTAGTCGTCAAATCTAATGTCAAAGAAAACGTTTGTACGAGAAATAGAAAAAGCCTGTTTTTAGGGTTTTCCCGGAAATAAATCAAATTTTTTTAGTTTTCAAACCTTCCTTGAACCTCCACGAACATTTCAAGACTAAGATAAGATAAATGTGTTCAGCCGTTCTTGAGTTTTAGTGAGACTAATGAACAGCAATTCATTTAGATATATAGATAGATATAGATAACCTATATGTTAGAATAACAATAAATTAATTTCAATACATCTACGTCCATTATCTCTTGATACTCACAACAAGTACAGCGAAGGTCATCCCCATGAAGTATCCAGCTAGTACGTCGCTCCAGTGATGCTTGTAGTCTGACACACGAGACAGGGCCGTGAACCAGCTCAGCATCACAGCAACGAATTGGAGAGAGTGACGCAACACGCGCGTACCACGCCATATGACGCGCTTCTCGAGGTACAACTGACATAAAACACGAATACGAATTCACGAATACGAATACGAATAGGAATACACGAATACGAATACGAATATCCGAATACGAATACACGAATACGAATGTCATGGTGAATATAGTTAGAATTAATATTATATCTGTTTATAGACGGAAGCATAAAAAAGTGAGAAAAAATGATTGCGAGTCCTTCGTTTAGAGTACAAAAAATTATCAATACAATCATAGGCTCGTTAGTTGATACTGTGTAGTAAAAAATTTAGAGGCTTGTTAAAGAACTACGAATTCGGCTATAGAATCGAATGTTAGTTTATGAAATATAAATAATATGAAGAATTAATACAAAAATGAATAAAATATATGCAAATTTAAGTATACCCGGTTCGTATACTAACTTTACATTCTTTGCAATTTTTGTCTGTTTTTCAACCTGTCCGTCTGTCTGTTTGTTACGACTAATCTCTGAAATGACTCAACCAATTTCAATGGGACTTTCACTGGCATATAGCTGATGTAACAATGAGTAACATAGCATACTCTCATTGTTTTATTATATTAATATACATAAACAACTACTTCAGGTTGACGAATGTGATACATAAAAAAAAATTGATAGGTCTACTTACAGCCAGGTAAAACATGGTGAAAGCAGACCACGCTGAATGGCCGCTGAGGAAAGACATGTGCATGTCTCCCATAAGTTCAGTCCTATCTCCTGTACAGGTATATTCATGGGATTCGATGTATCTCCTCTGCCATTCAGGAGCACTGCAGTCTATTGACGGCCTGCAAAGCTGAATACATACAGATTATTTTCATCTTTATTGTAATGTGTTTGGGATAAATAAACATTATTATTATTTATATATATCTTATACATCCACAGCTACTGGATGACGTTGGTTTTATCCCTACTAATATTATAAATACGAAAGTAACTCTGTCTGTCTGTCTGTTACGCTTTCACGCCTAAACCACTGAACTGATTTTTATATAATTTGGTACAGATATAGAGTTAACCTTGAGAAATAACATAGGATAGTTTTTTATCCCAGACTTTTGAAAGGTTCTTTTGGAAACGCGATATAACCGAACACCACGCGGACGAAGCTGCGGGCGGAAAGCTAGTATTTATATAAAACTGAATTGATATATCATTCTTAAATTAAATCAGTGTATAAAAAAATACATATGATCAATCAATGGTATAAAAAATGAAGCTTGACGGCCGTCAGAAAGACTTGTGGTTTTTTATTTTTTATATATCGTAACTATAACATGTTACTTCATTTTTTTTATATACAGTAACAATTTTTTTTCATACTAGATTACGACCGTGAACTTATATCGTGTTTTTTTATTAATTGAGTTAATTAATATATCAATGAAGATATATGTGTTTGATTTTTCCGTGTTCGAGAATATTAGCTTATCTTACGCGTACAATTAATAATAATTTAAACTTATTAAATATAGTTTCCATACATTTAATTAGTGTTTCTTAAAGGACTTTTAATCTCTAGATTGTACATTAATTTAGTTGTAATCTATCCAGTATTTTAATGTATTGCCAACTGCATGCCTTAATCATTTTATTTATGAATACATACATTTTAATTATCATCAAGTCGACGTATTTGTTCTAATGTAGTAAGACAGAAGGCAAATAAGATCCGATTTCTTAATAACCAATATGAAATTAAACTCAGAAGTATTTGTAATTTAAATATTAATCCTACTAAAAACAATATTTTCATTGAATAATTAGGTAATATGACGTCATCATTGTAAAGTAAAACTTATCTTTCGGAAAGTTACAAAACGTAAAGATAACTGATAAAACAAAAAAAACTTAATTTAGGTTAAAAATAATAGTCTAATTTGATGGTTTGATAGTTATAAAAAAATAACCAATTTTGACTATTAAAATATTTTGCACTATACTTATTTAATTCATATTTAAAGAGATATACGATATTTTATTCCTTAGCTGGTGGAATCTAAGATAAATTAATCGACTTACATCAAAGAAGTGCGGCCGTGGTCTTCCAATAACAACTTTAGCGATATTCGTCGTGAGCTCAATGAAACAGGCTCCAAAAGAAAATGATGCTAATGGACAGTAGAAGCCTCTCAGCCACGCTGGAACATTGAATGAGAGAAGCTTCTCTTTCTCATTTTCTCCTCTGAATAACACCCATTCGCATACCAGGAACTAGAAAATACATAGCTATTAGAAATCTCATTATCTTTCAACACACGTATTCTCAAAGTAAAATGTAAGTAAAATATTTATAGTAAAAATTATAATATAGTATTTGTAAAAGCTTATAATTATTAAGAATTATAACTAACAAATAGTGCTATTACATTTTTTTAGCTCACAAGTAATGTATACATTACGAAAATTAAGCAGGAAGGCAGACCCTGACTAAAGCTGGGAAATTGCCAGGAAGAAGACATACATTACGAATATCTGTATTATAATAATTATTGCTAAAGGAGTTTCACAGCTATTGAATAATAACGTAATTGTACAAACATTTACATTATAAATTAACCTGTTCTTATATCCATAGTAATTTGCATGTTCGATATGAATAATTTTATATCGACAATAAGTATGTGGTATGAAGGAAAAAATGTGGTCTGTTCACTTATATATCATTAAAGATATTTAATCATTTTAATTTAAATATATTCAAAAAAATTTAATGTAATTATGGATAGAGTATTATTTTATTTAGCATATTATATTGTTGCAATACACAAAGTTAGGAATTAAATTCGAGCTTCATTCTATGTTAGTAGACACAATAAAAGATTTGTTCTCAAAGGAAATTCCTACTTACAGCCAATATGGGTAGAGCTAAGCCGTAAAATCTCAACATCGGAGTACTGACAGTGTCGCTCCTATAAGGAAACATGAGGCTCTCATCGTCACAGAAAAAACCTCTTCTAAAAGGCACCACCAATGTATTCAATAAATATATAGATAGTCCCACTGAAAACAAACATAATTTATTCACCAAATATAACACATTAATTAAAACTATAAAAAAACACATTTAATTAATTAACCAATCTTAAATATTTAAACACGATCATCATAAATAAGATTATAAATTCAAACACATATTTTTTTTCCAATTTTACAGATAAAAAAACATCTAGGCTGTATAATTAATGCCTCAATTAATCTGTAATAGTGAAACTTAATAAATTAAATCACAGATAATTAATAAAAAGAAATGTCAAAATTAATAAACTCACAAGCGCTGATTAGAAATACGTCTACAACTAGCTTTCTAAACATGTCTCTGCCTTGACGCGCCATCTTGACGTTCAAATGATCACTGGAGGCGAGTCGAGTACACCGCGCTATATATACTGATAACATCTCATTGTAAATAGGAAATTGTATCGATATTTGTAGATCACATACATTGTATGGAAGTTTGATTGTGTTAAAACCTACTTCTTCTTAATAGGTCTTAGAAAATAAATATGTCTTGTATTTTTGTAAATTTACATACGTTCTTATAAATTAATATTATATTTGTCATGATGCCTTTTAAAGGTATTGAACAGACAGTTTAAAAACATTTATTAATAATCTACATTATAAATAATTGATTTTATGAATTAGAATTTTGAAATCTGCATAAATTCTGATTTGTAAAGTAATAGCAACGTAATAATTTAACAAAATGTTAAAGAGACAGTCTAAATATAATAATTATTAAATGTTTTAAATTATCTCTGAGTTCAATCCTTAAATCTCATGTAGCCATCAAATAAGCAATATTTCTAAATATCCTCAGCTTCCAAACTTTTTTTCTATCAAGAATCCCCACGTCTAATCGTAACGACCCGAATATGTGAATAAAAAACGTGATGACGTCCGGTATTTAGTTTGAAGTCGTAAACTTATACTAGGGACTGCTTATAAAGGACCACATTTTATTTTAAAATATTCCAAATTTTTCCTTCTGCATACGCTCAACTACTTAAGAGTAACTTTGAAATGAGTTTAAAGTTATGATGTTCTTTTTTATTACTTAATTTTTTTACCTTTATACTTAGTTATCATCTATTTTAAAAAAGGGTTGAGTATATTTGTATAAACAACTTTCCTTTACTATAAACTAAGTTATGTTTCAAACGAAGTTACACTAATCCTAAACAATCCCTGGTTTCAACCTACACCAGACCTAGTAGGCGTGACACAGTGTACGAAAAATAATTTTATATAAACGTCCAAAAAGGTTTTATATCCAAATAAGAATCTTTTTTTTAAATATTATTATGAACATTCTAGAAATATTAACATTAAGGTTATATAGTTACTGATAAGTCTGAAATATAATTAATTTATATATTTTATAAAAATATTTATGAAATTTTATCTAAATTCAATAATTATTATTAATGAACTTTACAGACATTATTATAATATTTACATTATCGGGACGTTAACTTTTAATCAACGAATCTCATGTTGTTGCACCGTCCCGTAATTGATTGTATGAAAACAAATATATGTATGTACAACTAGTAATTGACTGCGACTTTGTCCGTGCGGACTTTGGTATTATGTTCTGAGGCATGAATAATGTGTTAAAACTATGAATTTGGTAAATAGGATTAGCCTGTAGTATCGCCTATAGTCTGCGATACTTGACTTCAGACTACCAAAATTTTCTTCAGGATAAATCAAGGAAAAGTTCCTTATCCTGATATTAAGGATACATTACTGTTAAGTCTCATTTAAATGGGTTGGTAGTTTTTGGGTGAAAGGATAACAAATATTCATACATGCATACTTCATTACAATTTTTCGTATTTGTAATACTATTGTAGTAGGACGCCCGTTAGATAGGGGCCCCTTAAACTTACACCTGGGTCGCAAGTCCCAGTCACTGTTGAAGCTCCTCTCACTACAACGATGGACTCGACACCCGCACGGTGAATACATGGAATGATGAGAGGTTTCGTCTCATTTATTTCCGTTATCGACAGTTACTAAAGGCTAATTTATAATGACTCTATGATGGCTATAACCCAGCTATTAACTAAAAGACTTTAAATAGTTTTAAAAAAAAATCTCAGTATTTTTGTTTATAATTTTTTTAAACACAAAGAATTCGAACAGCATAGTAATTTTGATATTTTACCAAAAACAGTCACATTATCTTTTATAAGTTTTAGCAATATATTGTATATTTATTTTTTATATAAAAATCGTATTATTTTAACAATGTTTATATTAATTGAACGCGTCAGTGACCCATTTATATGTGCGTAATGTTTTCCCAATGTATTTAAATGATGAAATCATTAACTCTTTTGTATAGATCGTATCTTGAATAAAAATAACATTCAAGTTTATTTAAAGAAACAACAATGTTTTAAATATATATTTATAGGGTAAGGAACTTCATTAATTCAATTGTGTTGTGATTTTTAATACAAAATTACTATAACTGTGTATTTAAAGCATTGTGTATTTAGACTAATTATAAAAATGGAACAAAATTGCTAACTGAACAAGTCTTTTTGTACGACTTTTTCTTTTTTTGTTACTTCAGACGCGTATTTAAATCTAATCATAATGAACAAAGTTAGAGAAAAATCGAATATACATTGTTTTTATTTTTTTTTGGAATACTAAGGTAGATAAAATCTAAATAAAAACGTCTAAATTGGATTTTTTTTGTCCAGTTTCAGACCTAATATTTTTTTTTTCAACAATTTCAGGCGGATAAATTTGTTAGGATTTAACTAAGTATAAAATATAAATGTTATGGTTCTTATATGTCTGATAAACCCCAAATATCTCGTAAAAGATAGTAACTCACAAAAATAACTAAGTAGGGTAACTATCGTTTTCTTAAACAAAAACTGATATTATAAAGCATGGTCCACACTTTCTGATATTGCAGTACATCTACAATATATTTTATGAAAAATTAAGCAGTTAGTTAGTAAGTCATTAAAATAGTATCGAGTCCTGACTTGTGAGTTACTATGAGTTACCAATAGCTTATCGTAGTATTAAATTCGGTTAGTAACAGCTTGACTCATAAAAAAATTAGCTTAAAATCAAGCTGTAGTATGTTGACTGAACACATTCTCTATACATATAAATCTATCATAAAACAAATATCTGACGATGTTGACGTACTAGTTATTAATTATATAATATCCAAATCTTTTTTTATACATATTTTTTACGTGTTGTAATCTCATGTTCGCGTGTGATTTGCCGTCAGCGGAGGCGTGACAGATAAGAGGGACCTATTATGATAACGACATACATATTATCATAACACGATTAAAGAAATATTTATTATAGAGATCAACGTAATTAGACTCAAATTCGTCTAAAATTGGACTAGTTTTTTTTATTTCCATTGGACAAATATATTTATACCAAACATCACTGGCCATTAAGTTATTCTTATCTTTAAAAAAAATACGAATGCTGACCAAAAAGTTTATATATTTTTAATAAAGATTTTATATTTTTTTTATCGTCTCGAAGGCCAGTGAAAATGTCTATTTAAATACTTTTTTTGTTATTACTAATTAATAAGGGTCAATAATAATTGTATGCGGGTTAATGAAAAAATAATACATTAAAAATATTGTTCAGAGTCAAAAACCTTTAATAATAATGTTATTGATGAAATGATTCTCACGTGACAACAAAATAAACAAGGAACGAGAACAGAAAATATTTTTTATTGGAAATTCGGTGAAAGATATTAAATATTTTAGAACGAAGAAATATATTTAAGAATATTTATACACAAATTATATAAAGAAATTAGTTTATGAAGTTCAATAATGAGATCTAAGATTTTCGAGAGTTTTTTCCAAATAAATGAAACTAATATTTTTTCGGAACTACATATACTACGCGGGTTATTTTTGTAAAAAACTACATACTCCCGACGTTTCGCCTACTTTTCAACGTCAATAGCATGTAGTTTTTTTTTACAAAAATAAACCGCGTAGTACCTATATATCCTAAAATATTAGTTTCATTTATGTGAATTTTAATATTTAATTTATTAAGTTGTCAAGCTATGGAAATAAATGATTTTTATACCATTATGCAATCAAAATAAGTGTCTTGTTAAAACGATATGCGTTTCAATATAACGATTAAATCAAACGTTTAATAGCCATGTATATAATAAATATAAATATATAACTAGGAAAATTGAAAAGGTCGTAAAGTTAAACACGATTACAAGACAAACACGTTTATAGGAACACAGATTATGTTATGCCAATATGATTGCCAATTAGGAATTCTCATTTGTGAGCTGCTACTTCTCAAACTAGAGAAATACTGATAATATATGAAATATCTACCTTAATTTACCCTATTTTTGTTAAGTTTCTGTGTATTTCACCTTATTTTCTTCTTTATAGAATTAATTTATAATTTAATTGATATTGTATTTTCACATATTAGTCGAGTTTTTATTTTCCACTTATGTATTACGTTTTTCTCGAATATTCTTCATAAATAGTTTTTCATAAATACAAGTGATGAATTACGACATTAATCTTCAATATACTGCTAATTATTCTCTACATATTCTTAACCAAGTTTTCACAAAGTTCATTATTTTTTGCTTGTCTATATGTTTACATATACTTACCACAAATTATAAATGACATCGATAATTCTGATTAATTGTGTAATATTAACTTTACTGTAAGTAGATCAAATTTGTTCTTATTAAAATCAGAATGGGAAAAAGTTAGAGACTACTTAAGTATCATACATTCTATTCTTGTCAATGAAAACAAAACCAGAGGAATTCTATAAACATTAAATATGTATATATTTTCATTGAATGACTTACATTAAAAATGTATTTGAATTTATAATTCAAACAGTTTTAATAGCAGAAAAAACTTAATTGAAATTTACTATTATTATCGACTTTTTATCAAATTTCCAGTGTTTACATCAGATGGTCATGTTTCTTATATTTTCGGTTTAATTTTTCTCTCTCATTTTCATTACCTTAAAGTTTGATTAACCAGTTCTTACGAGGTTTGCGTAAAGCGAATTCTTAGCAAAAAAGGAGCTGATGTCAGTTTGACTGCATGTGTTTAATACCACTTACAATTTGGGTGTGATCAAGGCAACAGTAGGCTGTTACTGGCTTACGGCGTGTATGTTACTCAAGCTAGATCCAATTTATTATAAAGGAATATTGTAATATTGTATAGCAAAAAAATATCCTAAGTAATTTGAAACCTGGCCTAGCCTTTATATAATGTACTGTCAACCCTAGCCAAACCCTAAATATGCTTCAATTTGCAATTGCTCACCAACAATTAATAAATGCTCAATACATATAAGAAAGAATT